TGGAGTTGTACAGCCCACCGTGCGTCTCAGTGCACCTAGCAGACCTGTCCCTGAGATGGTCCCGGTCCAACCATCTCCCTAAACACTGTTTGGAGCTCCCAATTTCTGAATCGGCATCCGCATTCCCAGGTATCAAGACTTTCTGGTTCCCCAGGCACACCTGAGGTCACCTGCTGCACAGCACCCCCCTGGCAGTCACAGGCGGCACATCCCATGGCCTTGGGCAGGTCCCAGCAGGCTCAAGGGGTTGATGAAATTTCAGACTTCTCTGAGCCAGGAATTTTAAAGCCTTTCCTAACCTCTTTGAATCTGGCCATTGGTTATCATTTCTCTGGCTTTACTTGGTGTGTGCCTACACACTTATATCTGATATACTATTGATAATCCTATCTGACGGACTGTAAGATAAGGTGGGACCTTGTAATGGCTGTCAGGCTGCTGTGTGGGGCTCAGACCCAACAAAAGAGATTCGGATCTCAGCAGGTGAAGGAAGAGGTGCAGTGAGGCTGGGAGCAGACATGCTTTACTTGGAGCGGGCAGCAGCCCAGCCTCCAGTTCCACACCCAGCCAGACCCTTGAACCATTTCTGTAGGCGGTTTTATGTGCAGGTCAGACAAAGACGGCACACTGCCAACAGGTTACACAAGTGAGTGCATGCTCACAAGCAATGCAGTGACCTTGAGTACACACCCTGAATCAGGGTGTCCATGACCTTGGCTACATACTGCAAACATAGCCCACTGGAAACCCCAGCGAGGAGACCTAACTATACCCATCTTGGATCTGCCCAACACGCTATGAGCCAAAACCCAGGAGTGCATCTTCCCTTTGTCCCTACTATCTCATTTTCCCGGGAGAGATTTTACCCTCCTTATTGTTTCCTATTGTAAAGGAACTAAAGTCTCTTATCTTCTATAGCTTCTTCCTGCCGATACAGGGAGGTTGTTCCTTCTTATCTTAGAGGTTACAAAGATCTTTCACTACATGATCTAAAGGGACGAAGTGGGCAGCGGAGGTTCCTTGCCTGTATCCCTATTAATTTTAATGACATTAACAAATAAGCCTCCTGCAAGATACCATCACCCCATTTCTTGTGTATTCACTTTCTTGAGTAGGTACTTGAGGTCCTCTACGGGCTCAGGAGTGTATTTATGTAAATCTGAAGAATCATATGAGAGATTAGGTGGAAACAAATTTTAATCTTAGTAAGGGGACTCACCTGGGGATTTTCTGTACATTACAGTAAGGTTGGTGGTGAGTATAACCTGATAAGGTCCTTTCCATTTGGGCTGAAGTTGGGGTCCTCTGGTGAACCCTCTCTCCATGTTTTGAGCATAATCCTATCTCCTCCTGCACTCTTGGAAGGACAGCAGGGTTTTGTGTCAGTCCAGGAAAATTCTGTTTCCAAACTATAGGAGAGCCCACCGTGTTTACCCAGGTTAATGACATAGTGTGAGGAGTGGCATGTATTTTCATCAAACCAAAAGGTGGCAATTAAGAAGCGTTGTCAATTTGGCATCTACAGGGGGCTTAGAAGTTTTGAATAGCTTTTTGAGGCAGCACAGTTCTGAAAAGGGCATTGGGAAATAGCTTTATCCAAGGCTCCTTTAGATTGGGGATGCCAAGCTGAATGCAGCTTAGCTAAAATTTAAGGATATAATCTAAGGGCAATAGAGAGGATTTTTTGTTGTTGTAGTTGTTTTATTTATAACAAAGGAAGACCATCATCACTTTGGAAGAACTCTGGGAGCCTGAATTGTGGAATAATTTCTCCCTCTCTCTCTCTCTGTCTCTCTCTCTCTCTCTCTTTCTTACTAGGGATTGGACCCAGGGGCGCTTAACAACTGAGCCATATCCTCAGCCCTTTTAATGTTTTTTTTTTTTTTTTTTTTTAATTTGAGACAAGGCCTCGCTGAGTTGCTGAGGCTGATTTTGAGCTCACAATCCTCCTGCCTCAGCCTCTTGAGTCCCTGGGATTATAGGTGTGTGCCACTGTGCTTGGCTTGCATAATTTGTTTTAAAAGACATTTATATACTCCAATGGCTTTCTCTGTTTCAGTGGAGAAGGCTTCTGTCCATCCTATAAATGTAAGTGAATATTTATATCCATATTTTTAGGGCATTTGGGTAAATTCCAATTGCCAATCTTCCCATAGATAGATGTACTGCTACTAGACAAATTTTAAAAATTGGGTTGTCTTGTTACCAAATTTCACAGCTTTGTAAAACCTACTGATAGTCTTATGAAATCCCTTTCCAGTAAGAATAGCCCTTGTCAGTTCCCAAAGGGTGTCCTTTGGATAATAGGTGCCCTCATGTGGATGTTTACTAACATTCCACTGATAAGCCTCAGGAATAACAGTCTTCTCCCCATCTGTGAGCCATCCTGTCTCATTAGCATAGTATACCCATTTATTCCATTTTGTGTTTCTGTGGAGGGGTTCTTAGGCATTTTGATTAGAAGAATCTGGGACTAGGGCCATAAGTTTATGCAGCTGTGTAGGATTCTCTGGGGGAGCCAGGGGATTGGACACAAACTTTGCAGTCTTATCTACCATATTATTATCTTGGCTTACTGGGGATCCATTCCATTGGTGTCCCTCACAGTGAATTACTGCCCTCTATTTAGGAAGTCACACTGCCTCAAAACTTTAATAATAGGTCTCTATACTTTATCTGGAAATTTCAAGTTGTTAACACCCTTCTTTCTCTCTAGATAGCCACTGGGCATGGAGTACTTGAAATCCATATTTGGAATGTGTAGATATTTAAGATTCTTCCTTATTTTAATTGTAGGGCTCCAGATAAGGGCAATGAGCTATGCTTTGGGCAGAGGTGTTAGAGACAGGCATTTGCTTCTGTGGTATCATAGCCACTTCCCACTCTGTGTCCAGTTTCTCGGATGCCCTTTTCTACAAAACTGCCTCCATCGGTGAACCATCATCCTCAGACTTACTAAGGTCTTACTGGCTGGAGTAAGTTTGTTCTATAATGCCTATACAGGACTATCTAACAGGAGGGCCTGATTTCTTTTTTTTGTACCAGGGATCGAATCCTGGAGCACTTAACCAGTGAGCCACATCCCTAGCCTTTTTTATTTTGTATTTTGAGACAGGGTCTTGCTAAGTTGCTTAGGGCCTCACTAAGTTGCTGAGGCTGCCTGAGAACCCTTGAGCCTCCTGCCTCAGCAGCTGGGATTACAGGCCTGGCCACCTTGCCTGGCCGGGAGGGCCTGACTTCTTGTTGGTCTTCCCTCCATGAGTTAGAGATGACCTTGACTTCCCAAACTGCCTGGACTTGGGGTGGTGAACCTTCTTATGTTGTCCCAAGGTTGATTAGGAGGCCTTGTTGACCACAAACCAGGTGTAGCCTCTGCTTTCAAACAACTTGACCACTAGATCTAGTGTTTGGAGAAGTAGGAAACTGCCCTTGAAGCAGGTCTAATGTTTGAATTGGAACCTTTAAACTAAATCCAGCCTTTGTGTGTATAGAGTTTCTAGGTTGGGAAGGCCCAGCTTGAGCACGACCCAGCTCAGTCTTTAATAGGTCACGTGCCCTTCAGTCTGGGGGAAAGTTCCTTTGTCCTCTCCCTTTAGTGCCTTGTGTAAAGGTTCTCTATCCAGCCATAACTGGGAGTCCATAGCTGACGGATATTTCATGCCCAGAAATCCACAGAGCTGTCTTTTAGACTCAGGCCTGGACAGTGAGGCAGTCACTCAGGGCCAACCTAAAGGCTCCTGGGGTGTGGACAAATCCCTAATACTGGACCCTTTGAAGAGGTTTCTGGGCCTTTTAGGGAAAACCTTATATCAATAATGGTGTACAAATTAGGGCCTCTCAACTTTTGGGGTTCCCCCATTTAAAGGCATGGAGACTCTGAGGGCTCTCTTCTTATTTAAAAGGGCAAGCAGCTTCACCTCTTCTTTGCCGCAGTCTGGCTGGGCACAAATCACGAGCCACTCAAGCAGGAACAAACTTTATTTCTGAACTCCACCAGCACACTCCACACACACTCCCCAGGAACTCTCCTGAACGCCACCCACACGGCTCCTCCAGGAACCACCAACCGGAAATCCCTCCTCCGGCACTTCCCCCACCAATGGGAACTCTCGGGGAATCCCCATGAGAACTCCAAAGTAGCAGGCCGAGGTGGACAGCAGGGGTCTAATATACACAGCTTAACATAACCATCATCTTCTCAATGGCTCGCTGGCCACCTCTCAACCACTCCGTTCTGGCAAAAATGCCATGCGTCATTCGGACTCGGCTATGGCTCTCAGCACTTCTTGCCACTGTGGCTCATGCCACTTCTTTCCACATCTTACAGGAATGTCAGGGATTGAATCCTGGGGCATTTACAGAAGCAGAACTGTCCCATTTCCCCAATGAATTTGGATGAAACACAGTAAGAAAGTCAGTCATGAAATATCTGTCAGCTATGGATTCCCAGTTATGGCTGGATAGAAAACCTTTACACAAAGCACTCTCCTCCAAGTGACATTGGAGGAGAACCAAGTGATCTATAAGGAATTACAGGAGATGACACAGACTTGTGCTCAGTCAGGGTCATGTTCAGCTGACCGTGCCAAGCTGTCTGGGCATATTTAACTGGGAATCTGATCTTTCTTGAGAGATGAAGGCACTGAGGTACTGGGTTTGGTGGGTCCAGTAATAAATATATGATACTTAAAAAGTAAATAAAAGGCTAGTGAATGAATGTCTTGTTCTAAGGGCACTTCTCCCTAAATTTGATTTCAGGCCATTGAGGTACTTGTTCCTAACTTTGTCAATAGGTCCCTTAGTAACAGAGGGATGGGACATTCTGGGACATAGAGAAAGGAATGGGAGATAGTTTGAGAGCCAATTCTGCAAGTGAGAGGAAAAGTGAAGTGTCTCACTTTGAATCTACCATACACTCCTGTCATGGAGCACTCCTGGCTGAGTCAGGACAGAGCAGGCAGCTCCGGTGCCGGTGCCGATAAATAGTTTTGTTCTCCTACCTGCTATGTGGAGGGTGACGCGATCTCGACTCCTGGAGCTCCTCGGGTCTGGGGCTGTCACTCATGGCAGAGTCATCTTCCAGTAGAACCAAGATTGCTCCAGCGGGATTGCTGCTCCGTGGCCCTGGGTGGGACAATCAGAGCATACTCTTGCCCTCCTCATGGCAGTGACTCACTGATGGGCCGCAGGGACTGTCGGAGAGTTCAGCTTGTGGAGGGCTCTTTCCTAGGGTCACTTTCAGACCCCTGGGGTAGGGTAGCCAAAAGCTGGTTTTTTTGGCCAATCATCTGCCCACTTTGCCTCCTCTGCCCTGCCTCTATTGCTAAAAGCCTTAAAGCCTTCACTATCCAGAGTAGCAACTAAGAAAGGCGTGGCACCTTCTTTCATTAGGTTGAGGTTGAATCAGGATTTGTGGAATTCAAAACTGAAGCCCGATGGAGGAATAAAACAAAACACGTGGTAATCGATCGCTGGAACGGAAATTTCCAGGACGATGACAGAGGTACAAATGTGATCTCAGACGTGGGACAGATGCAGTTAAAACCCCCACTTAAGGAGTGTGGTTAGAGATCACAGTTTCAAGTACCTGAAGAAGAGGTGACCTTGGAAAGAGAAGGAAACTGCCTCCGGGTGTTCTGTGCTCACGTCGTTGCAGGCTCACACAGGACTTCCTTACTCAGTTTATTGCCTGGACCTTGTTCCACTTCCTTTGCACAGTACAACGTTCTGAGTGACACACACACACACACACACACACACACAAAGCTAATGTTTCCTGCCCTTGAAATACTCCCCAATTCCTTAAAATTTGTGATTTTAAGAATTTACAGGAATTTAAACTATGAACTTCAGAATTTCCTCACTATAGTCCCATCCATCCTGCTCCGATCATTTGCTCTGCAGAGGCCTACACAGCAGTCGCAGGTCTTCTGTGATCTGATGAAGTAGTGCTCCAAGTCGGCCGCAACAAGACAAACGACCACAGCGTCTCAAAGCTTGCTCGGATTCCGGCGTTGTAAGAACTGATTTGGACAGCCACTTTCCAGAGACTATTATAATTAGAAAAAGGGCAGAAGGCAGAGGGTTGGGAGCTGGCAGCTGGCATTAGATGTCAAGAGGCACCCGTGGGACTCAAGGTTATTTTTATGCTCTGACTATTATAGAAAGCACAGTGCCTTACACATTTTCTAGCTCACATTCCCAGCCCAATATGTGATTTTCTTTTTCATCAAAGAATAGTAATAAAACATGATGACTGTGGGTGAGACCAGATCCCAAGATTTTATATATATCCTTCATGAAGAGAGAATAGAAAAAAAAAATTCATTTCCTGCAAGTATCTTGTCTCTTAAGGAATGGGAGCTTATTATGGTTTGGATCTTTTGTGTGTGTGTGGTGCTGAGGATAGAGCCCAGGGCCTTGTGCCCGTGAGGCAAGCACTTTACAAACTGAGCCATATCCCCAACCCTGGTTTGGATCTTAAATGTCCCCAAAGCTCATGCGTCGAAGGCTCAGTCCCAGCTGATGGCGCTATTGGGAGGTGGGGGGAACTCAGGAAGTGGCCTAGTTGGAGGAGGCACATCCTTGGGCGTGCCCTTGAAGACCACATCTGTCTCTGGCCCCTTCCTCCTGGTGTTCTCTTTTTGGCTCGGCTTCCCAGCTGCCTGCGGTCAGCAGTTTCAACCCACAGTGGCTCCTTGCCATGGTGCTCTGCCTGGCCACAGGCCCACGCTGCTGGGGCCAATCCACTGTGGGCTGAAGCTCTGAAACCGTGAGCCCAAATAAATCTTTCGTCCTTGAATTGTCTTTTTTCCCAGGTACTTTGTCTAGTGACAGGAAGCTGACTGAACAGAACTTGATGTCACTCTAAGCTAATGGTCTTTCTTCTTGAAAGCTGCCCACGGGGGGGGGGGACCCTCTGTGGAGAAGGGGCCATCCTGGGGCTCTGGTTTCCAGGAGCTGGACTCCCCCCTTGCATACCACAGAGGTCAGAGCTGCATTTCAGCAGACGGTCACTCTTTAGAGTGGTTTCTTAGAATGTTTTTCTTTCCTGAATATACATGGAGGCTGCAACGTCCATGTGTGTTGGTTATTTCTGTGGAGTTGGTGCACAGATCCTCACAGGTAGACCTGAGTACAGATGTGCAGACTGTAGGAAGCGCAGGCCAGACCGGCGCTCTCTTTCCTTCTCGGCACTAGAGAAGACCGTTGTGAAGGAAGCTGACTGTTGACAAAGAGAGAGAGAAAGGAGGAAGGGAAAGGAAGGCAGGGCAGGTCAGATGGAAAGCAGCAGGAAATGAGTGGGGCTGAGGAGCGATCCCACAGGAACGCAGACTTCCCGAAACAGACAGATGTGGTCATGCGCTCTAATATTTCGGGGAACCCCAGGGCAGGAGCAACCCAACTCATTCCATGAATGCACTTTTCTTCTGCTGATTTCCCTGGAAGGGGCAGCCAGCTCAAGGCAGCCGAATGCCACGAGGGAGCAGCTCAGTGGAATGAAGAGATGGCAGTGGAGACGTGAGGGAGCTTCTCTGAGAAGCCACCAGCTCAGTCCCTCTAGTGAGCTGCAAGTGACTTGGGTAGACACACACAACAGCAAATGCATCACGTGGCATCACGCCACCTCCCAGTTCCTGGAGTGTGCTTCCCCACGAAAGGCCCCCTGCCCAGCTGCATGCCCACGTGGGACACTTCAGTCACCCACACATCCTTGCTTTCTCTATGGTCTCGAGACAGCGGTCGCTTCTTGCAGGGAATGAGGTCAGAAGGAAGCTCTGAGGAACCTTCTGAGGTTTTGGTGGTGATTCATTATCGTTCGTTATTATTCTCTAGCTTGTACACACACACGTATATATATCTTCTTCTTATTCACTATCATTCTTCAAGTTGTAATATTGTTACTCTTCTTTAAACTCTACATGTGAAAACTCTTTTGAATCCATGATTTTTTTTTTCACAATAAGAAAGTTTTTCTTAAAGACCAAAATGTCATTTTCCTAGGATCTGTAGAAGCATGACATTTGCTCCACATTGGTTTTGGTACCTTATAGTTGTACATAGTGGTGGAATTTGCTGTTACATATTTATACATGCACATAATATAACAATATAGTTCACCAATATTACTCCCCAACATTTCCCCCATCCCTCATCCCTGGTCCCGTTTCTCTACCGATCTCCCTTTGATTTTCATGTGATCTCCCTCCCACAATCTTCCTCTCTAGCTTCCACATATGACAGAAAACATAGGACCCTTGACCTTCTGAGTTTAACTTACGTTAAACATATTCACATAATGAACTGTACTTCCATCCATTTTTCTTTATGGATGAATAGAACTCCTGTTTTTATATACCACATTTTCTTTATTTGAATTTATTCAGTCATTGATTAGTCATGATATTTTTGTTGAAAGTACCAAAATTATTCAATGAAAGAAGGACAGTCTTTTCAACAATGTTTCTGGAACAATTAGATGTTGATAGGGAAAGAAAATATCATCCAATCTCCTACCTAAAATAAAAACTGACTCAAAATAGATCATGAACTTAAATACAAAATGCAAGCTTAAAAACTCTTAGAAATGAACAAGGGAGAGCATCTTCAGGACCCAGAGCTAGGCAAAGATTTTAGACTTGACACCGCAAGAATTTTCCTCCATAAAAGAAAAACATTGATTTTGGATCTCAACAAAATTAAAATATTTTGTTCTGCAAAAATATGTGAAGTAGACAAAAAGAAAACTATGACTTGATAGAAGATATCTGCATAATATATTTTTAAATCAATTTTTAATTTATATATGACAGCAGAATGCATTACAATTCATATGATACATATAGAGCACAAATTTTTCATATCTTTGTATACAAAGTAGTAGATGAATGGATTAAAAATGTGGTATATACATCTGATTCAAATGTACGATATGTCAAGATCATTGTACTGTCATGTGTAACTAATTAAAACAAATAAAATTTTTTTAAAAATGTGATATATATACACAATGGAATATTACTCAGCAATAAAAGAGACTAAAATCATGGCATTTGCAAGTAAATGGATGGAATTAGAGAAGAGAATGCTAAGTGAAGTTAGCCAATCCCCCCCAAAACAAATGCCAAATGTTTTCTCTGCTATAAGGAGGCTGATTCATAATGGCTTAGGGAGAGGGAGCATGGGAGGAATAGACGAACTCTAGATAGGACAGAGGGGTGGGATGGGAAGGGAGAGGACATAGGGTTAACAATGATGGTGGAATGTGAGGGTCATCATTATCCAAAGTACATGTATGAACGTCATTTTTTTCATAACTATAACAGGACTGCGAACCACGTACTTCGGGTCCCTCACTTAAAACACAGGAACTGAACCTGTGGAAGAAGACAGCTTTCTGTGCTGACTTAGTGTAACTTTTGTGCAACTCAGTCAACAGCAGTAGGTTTGAAGGGCCCATTGCCCCACTTCCCAACAGAATTCCTGTTTGATCAAAACCAGCCCAGGCAAAAGCGACCAATGCAACTTCCCTTCCCTAGAAAGAAATTGCACTCTTTTTAATGTAATCAACTTAAATGTCTGAACATCCTTCCTTTAGACTTCTGCAGATTTTCTATGCTTTAGGGCCTCTTTTTTTGAACAAAGCAATAATATATCAAGGTTGGCAAGTTGAGGAGGGGACGAAGTCTAGTGGGGCTGCCTGTGATGAAGTCATGGCTCCTAACACTCTCCGCCTTCCCAGGGACAACAGGTAGAGATGGTGTGTGTGTATGTGTGTTCCATGTGTTGGGGGAAGAGCACAAGGGATGCTTGTTAATGTCTTCCTTGGTCAAAAATAATTGTTGGGTGTAGAGTATTAAGGCAATATTCAGTGGTTTCTAAATGTAGTGATCTCTGAATGTGGGCAGCGATCTCTGCCTATTGTGAGCTATTATTCCTGTACAGCAGGGAAACTCAGAGCCATATGTTTCAATGTAAATACTTTCTGATAATGTGGAACAAGCATTCTGTTTCTCATTGTCCCTGTGAGCCGAACTGCACTTGAAATCAGGTTAGCATGAGCTAAATTCAATCATTGTGTGACCTGATTGGGCATCTGCAACCTGGGGTATTGAATATCCTACTTTATGTTGTTTTATTCTCAATTTCATCTATTTATTTCCTTAGAGACCACAGAGCAATAGTAGGCAGCAATATAATGAAATGTGGTAAATCTGGTTAGAGAGAAATATGACTAAAAATATGCTCCTTCGTTTCATCTCAGTGGCCCTGTGTTTAGTGTGGCTTACTATGTTTATAAAATACTAAAACTGGTTCTCAGGAGGAAAGAGGCAGGCAGAATTTACTGCTCTGAGAAAAAGCCTACTCAATTTTATATAAAAGTTCTTTGTTTTATAGATCTGCCATGAAAACCTAGGTTATAGTCATTAACTGCCATTTATACAAGATTGCTGAGTTTCTGGAGGCTCTTGTGAGATGGTTGGTCCCTGGACCCCCATGTGCATGCAGAGGGCTCTTCCAGTCCTAGGGCTTCCCAGCCACTGACCAGCTGCATGGTCAGGAGACAGCAGGGTGGGGGGAAATAAGCACATCCTGATACCGTGGAATCCTTGATACTGAGCACTCCTCAGTGAAGGTCAGTCCTTCCTGCTGAAAACGGAAGTTCACACTGGTTTCCCAGTTCTCAGAGCTGCAAGCTGGAGCACTGGTCCCAACTAATTAAGAATGATTCTCAAGGGGCCAGCAGGGGAGAGGAACCCCCTTAATACAATCAGCCTCTTGGGGACTTTTCCAAGCATATAAGCTCCATGTGACACCTTGAGACCACTATCTGTTGCTAAGTGAAATGAGAAATGTTCTGAAAGGGAGTGTACAGCGCACAGGGCTGGTGGAAGGGAGTATCAAGATCTATTCATCTGCACAAAGGTTTTTAATGAAATTGTGTATATACAGAGACTACTGACACCCTTGAAAACTTTCGCATAAACATGTCTTCTCTGTTGTTTATGTCACACATATAAAAATTGTGACTCACTGTGACTTAGCAGAAAGA